GTGTGTGTGTATGTGTGTGAGTGTGTGTTTGTGTGTGTGTGTGTTTATGTGTGTGAGAGAGTGTGTGTGTTTGTCGTGACTCGTGTGTGTGTGTTTATGTTTGTCGTGACGCGTGTGTGTGTGTTTATGTTTGTCGTGACTCGTGTGTGTGTGTGTTTATGTGTGTGAGAGTGTGTGTTTATGTGTGAGAGAATGTGTGTGTGTTTGTGTGTGAGTGTGTGTGTGTTTGTCGTGACTCGTGTGTGTGTGTGTTTGTCGTGACTTGTGTGTGTGTTTGTCGTGAAGGTTGAACTCGCGGCTCTTGTTGAGGGCACACCTCAGCTGTGCTTTCCATTTGGCCGGATCCGGCTCGTCCACACCTTCCTGATACTTCCCCGTCTCCACGGCCCAGGCCTGACACACACACACACGGGTCAGATCAGTCCCGTCACGATCCCTCTGTACCCCAGGCCTCGGGATCCCCATCACTCACCTTAAAGATGGTGTTCTCCTCCTCCTGCTGCGGCGTGTGGCGCGTGGCGTGTTTCCAGGGGATCTGGAAGCGTTTGGCCTCGCGGTCCATCCACACCAGACCCGGAAACGTCCCGTTGTCCACCTGAGACACCAGCCAGGGCTTCAGCCGCACACGGCGCGGATGAGAGGACATCACGGCCTTCAGGAGACGAGGAAGAGCGCATCAGTGAGGCTGAGAATAATCTAACTCAGACTGCAAACACCGATAATATTAATAAAACAATTCACAATAGTTTTACTTATTATACATTTTATAATGCTAATAATATTAGATTAATACATATTTTACTATTTTTAAAATAATATTATAATAATTATTAAAATCAGTAGGAGGAAAAACACATAGATGAGGCTAAAAATAATAAAACTGAGCCTAAAAACACTAATCATATTTAATTTAAAAAATATTTTCTAATTTTTAATACACTTGATATTAATTACAATGTTATATTAATTAACAAATATTTTAATAATTCATTAAAATATCATATTTACATGATGACCTTCTGTAGAGGAAAAACACATGAGGCTAAAAATAATCAAACTGAGCCTAAAACACTAATATGTTTATTAAAACAATTAGCAATTTTTATAATAGTTTAATACATTTTATAATGATAATAATATTGTATTAATTAATACATATTTTACTATTTAAAACATTTTCTAAAATATTATAACAATTAATAAATTATTAATATATATATATTTTTTAGTAGATTTTAATGAACAAATTAAATATATTTTATACATTATTATTATTACTAAAATATTATATTAACATGATCTTCTGTAGGAGGAAAAACACATAAATGAGGCTAAAAACAATCAAACCGCCTACAAACTAACATTTTAGTTTTTGTTATTTTAATAGATTTTAATTATATTATATTAACAAATATTTAATATACTTTTATACCTTAGAATTATTATTATGATCATTAGAATAATTACTAAAAATATATATTATATTAACATGATGACCTTCTGTAGAGGAGCAAAAACACATAAATGAGGCTAATAATAATAATAATCAAAAAGATTACAAACACTAATATTTGTAATAAGAAAAAACATTGTATTCTCTATTTTTATTTTTCATACGTTTTAATATTATTAGCAATATTATATGAATATAGTATTATAATCATTCCTATTAATACAGTAACATCACATTCTGTAGGAGGAGATACTACAAAACTAATATTTAATTTAAAAAATACAATTAATATTTTTAGATGCTATATCCAATACATTTGATAACAATTTTATATGAACAAATATATTTTATTATTAGCAGCAGCATAAACTGCACTTTAAATGACCAGATTTAAGTTTCATAACTTGATTGCAAACACAGACCAGATGAAGCTCATATTAATAATTAGACTTAATATGATCATTAATTCAACGTATAATCAGAAACAACAGTCATAAGTCAATAAATTGAGTAAATAAACAGCCGGTGACTTTCGATAGCATCGCATAAATTCTCGTCTTCGATTAAAACACTGAAATTCCGACAGTAAAGCATATTCTAGTGTATTATATTTCTGGAATGAGGATGAAAGTGTGTAGAAATTAAATATAAATGCGCTTTAAATATGAATGAGTCTCACCTGAGGGTTTCAGGAAGCGTCGAACCAGGAAAACCCAGCAATCCTGAGGCCTTTGCCGCCGAAACGCGCTGCTTTGAGAATGAATCTGATCTATTAAGTGGTCATAAACCGGTTGTTAATCGGGTAATGCGCTCGTGAGTCCGTGAGAAGCGTGAGAAAAGCGTGAGAAGCGTGTTTCAGTCTCTGCTACAGTTTCACCTTCAGCCGAAACTCAGGTGCAGCCGTGACGTCACGCGCCTCTCTCTGACGCACGCGCGCCGACAACACACACATATTCATTATTACCCATAAAAGATGATTGTGTTCTTCTTCTTCTTGTTAGTTTTATGGCGGATTGCAACCATGACTTATCAGGTGCATACCGCCACCTACTGTATCGGAGTATGCAGCATGGATTATATCTCACTGAATGCACTTTACATTATAAAAAAATATATATATATATGTTATAAATAAATATTATAGCACTACTATCTAAATCCTATAATATACCCCTGTATCCTTCAGATATTCCACAACAGCATCCTGTGCATCTTTAACCCCTTCTCCTGTTGTTCCCAAAACACCCTCAAGGTTAGATGATTGTGTTATAATTTACCTTAAGATTTAGTCGGTTAAATGAGGACATGCTTTAAATGAGTTACATATACTGAGATGTCCCATAGTCTTTGCTGATACTGACCACAGACTGAATCAAATCCTTCAGCTAAAAATAAAATGTTACACAATACGTGATATTTAGCTTTTTTCACGTATGAGAAATGTTTCGAAATGTTATAAATATGCGTTATTTTATTTTTATGGTCAACAAATATTTAGCGTAAGAAGGTGCTAACACTAAAATGGTTATTAAAGTAAAATTAAACAAAAAATAATAATGAAAATCGTAATCTGAAATTGAAATAAAGCTGAAAATAAATTTAAATAAAATACTATAAATATTAGATGAAAAACTTAAGCTTAAAAAAACAACAACTGAATGTTACTGAAATAAATGTTTAAGTTGAAGTACTAATACATTTAAATCGCTATAAAAATATTTTTAAAAAGTAGCCTATTGACAAAAGCTCAAAACGAAATTTGTTACAAATTAATGAAAATTGTAAACTGTAATTGAAATAAATATCAATATTAGATAAAGGCTAATTGAAAATATTAATAAATACTATCATTGCATATCAGAAATGTTGAAATAATACTGTTTTGAAGTGTTGTTTTACATATAACTGATTATTAGTTTTATTTTACATGTATTTTATAGGAATTAATTTTGTTACAAATATTTGGGACATAAATACAAAACTGCATTGATTGTCAGTCAGTTCAATAGATCATGTCACATATTCTGAGGCTGTTTATTACTCTGCAAACAAAGAACAGGTTTCATGTTTTATTTTCAAAAGAGAATCCAAGTGTGAAATGACAATAACATTATAAATGTCCTCTACATAATATAATACTGCATTTTTTACATAAATAACATTATTCCCCTTATATATATATATATATGCATGCACACACACACATCACAGGACTGAAGAATGTTGTATTTTACAGGAATGATTCAAGGTTTTAGTGTATAAGTGCACTTGAATAAACAGGGTTTGCTCGAGTTTCCATCACTAATGTTATTCTGTGAGATTACATTAAGATTTTCAGTCCAGCTGAGAGTAACACAGTAAAACACGGTAAATACTGGATATTTCTCATGTGTTGAGGGTTTAAACGTCCTCACTCAATGGTAAAGTTCAGCTTCTAAGATGAGAAATACACCAGGAGAAACTAGCTGCGAATTGACCTGCTGCAGAACCTGCACAACAGCCATCATCTTCATCATCATCAGCTGGTCTGGGATCAGTGCAGCTGCTGCTCAGAGTTGATCTCGCTGTAGATTTTTTTGACGATACACGAGTCAGATCCAAACTCTGAGTCAACATCTTCAACAGAACCTCGTCAGCCTGAATGCCCTCCATAAACTCCTCCTGAGAGAGTTCACCTAAACACACACATTTACATAATTAATTCATGTGAATTCATTAGAGTAATTACTTTATGGATGGATGGATCTGGAATAGTTTTAGTGTGGTTTCAATCTTACTTAAAGGGGTCATAGGATGCTACATGCACTTTTACAAGTTGTTTGAACTGAAATGTACACAACCACCCCATAATGATAAAAATCCACCCAGTGTTTTTTTTTTTTATCTACTCAAATCTTTACCCCTTTCTCGAATCGAGACTATCTCAAGATGCCTGTCTGTGTGACGTCACACAGACAAGCCCCTCCCATGATAGTTTGATTGACAGTAGCGTTTCAGCACAGACTGGACTGGCGTCTTACTTTAGCTCCGTCCTGAGTCACTGTCATCAGTCCGCCATTGTTTCACCGCCGGAGCAGATGTAGACAAGAATGCCTCCTAAGCGACTAGATAGAGCCACAGCCCCGCTCAATAGAAACATTATCCCTCTCTCCAGCATCTCCACTTCTAAGCTTCTCACAGAAAATGGAGGAACTGGTTTATGCTGGGATCAAGTTAGCATTTTTAAACATTCGCTGAAGTATTGAAGTATTTATGTGACTATGAGAAGTTAGATATACAGGGGCTCTTGGGATAAACATGTCTTGAGTAAGAACATGTCTTTACCTCTCTTCCTCTGAGGAGGTTGAGGCAGTCAGCAGGGGCTGCAGAGCGGGAGCAGTCCCAACCTACCGTGTTCCATCTCCTCATTTTGGGGGCGTCACTTCTCGTACTCCGCAGAGTCTAGAGCCATCAAGTTAGCATTTTTAAACATTCGCTGAAATATTGAAGTATTTATGTGACTATGAGAAGTTAGATATACAGGAGCTCTTGGGATAAACATGTCTTGAGTAAGAACATGTGTTTACCTCTCTTCCTCTGAGGAGGTTGAGGCGGTCAGCAGGGGCTGCAGAGCGGGAGCAGTCCCAACCTACCGTGTTCCATCTCCTCATTTTGGGGGCGTCACTTCTCGTACTCCGCAGAGTCTAGAGTCCCCTGCCGGTTCACCGCTTCAGGGCACCAAGCTAGCCGCTGTAAGTGCACCAGAGGCCAGTCTCATGAGACTGGTTCCCTTAGTATGTCAGCTGGTGTTCCAGGGCGCAGCGGTCTCCAGCGAGCACTGCTCTCAGTTACCGCCCGGAAACCTAGCGGTGCTAAGAAGCTCGCGACCTCCACAGAGGTCTCTAGAGCAGCTAGTACAGCCGTCCCCTGCCGATTCGCCACTCCAGGGCACCGAGCTAGCCGCTCTGATTACTCCAAAGGTCAGTCTCAAGAGACTGATTCCCTTAGTAGACTAACGTGTCTCGGTTACTTTTGGCCTGCTGTACATGAGACCCCTACAGTGGTGGCTTAAGACCAAGAGGTTCTCCCCGAGGGGAAACCAGCTTCGCATGCTCAAGGTCACGTGGCGGTGCCTACGTGCCTTAGACATGTGAAGGAAACCTTGGTTCTTATCTCAGGGCCCGGTGCTGGGAGCTCCTGGTCGCCGCATATGCTAGCGACGGATGCATCTCTCACTGGTTGGGAGCGGTCATGAGTGGCCACTCGGCCCGCGGCCTGTGGAGCGCCCCCCATCTCACGTGGCGCATGAGTTGACTGGAGATGCTGGCCATGTTTCTAGCTTTAAAACACTTTCTCCCAGGCCTAAGCGATCGCTATGTGTTGGTGCGCACCGACAACACAGCAGTGGTCTCTTATAAATGTGGGGGCAGACATCCTGTCGAGGCAGGGCCGAGGTCCGGGGAATAGATGCCTCACCCCGAAGGGTGAAGCAGACTTGGAGAGTCTTTGGCCAGGCTCAGGTGGATTTGTTTGCGACTCAGATGATATCGCATGGTCCCCTCAGGTTCTCTCTCTGACTCATCCATCTCCACTGGGGCTCATCCAGCTCCACTGAGGCTTCGTCTGTACACCTTTCCCCCGACTGTTCTACTCCCGGGAGTTCTGGAGAGAGTGCGCTGGAACGAGGTCAGCCGACTGCCAGTAGCCCCGTTTTGGCTGGGCCGAGTATGGTTCTCGGACCTGATTTCTCTTCTCGACAGCGCTCCATGGGAGATTCCCGTCAGTAGAGATCTCCTCTCACAGGTGGAGGGTGTGCCCCCGCCCGGAGCTGTGGAAGCTGAGGGTGTGGCCTCTGAGGAGGCACAACTCATAGCTTCCGGTCTCTCAACCGGGGTTGTTGAGACCATCCTCCATCCAGAGCTCCCTCTA